AAATGAGACCAATATCTTAGCCTTGAGGCAGTTTTGACATATTATAGTGATCAGACTGGTAGCCAGGTCCTGGCAAGTCTCCACAGGCAGTCTAGGGTGTTTTATTACCTCATCTAATTTAAGGAATAATGTATTACTTCATCTCTGGTGTTTTATGTTATTGGAGATCCTCTTTTATTGGTCAGGGCTTTAATTAATGGCACAAAGGGAGGCGTGGACATGGATATATGCTCAAATTCTACAAGGAGAATGTTGAAAATAGGAGCCAAAAAAGACTTAACACATCATACGGGTTTCTCCTCTGGGTTTTCTGCCACAGATGGAAAAATGAAGCTGAGCTTTTCCAGAGCATATTCAGAGTGAACCATGCAGCAATACTTCTAAGGTGCTACTCACATGCATTGATAAACTAAGATTATCAGAATGGAAATCTTTCCTAAATTCTTTTACCTTGAAAATTATTAATCCATCTTTTTTAAAATTTTCAATTAAATGAAAATGAAGAGGCAGGAGACAAAAGGAGTTTAGGTGTAACACAGGCTTGCAGGGGAAGACACACAAAGGCATATCGTCTGGATCTTGTACTTTCAATAGACATTTGCCTGAAGTTAGAGGTCTACCCAATGGAAAACTGTATGAACAGTCGTGTAAGATAAATAAAGGTCTCCTTTCTTTTTATCACCCACACCCAGAAGTGTGGTGGCATGTGTTGAAAGTTCAAGCAGCTTGGGAGGTCAAGACAGGAGGATCACTTGTGTCCAGGAGTTTAAAGTCAGCTTGGACAACATAAAGAGATCCAAAAAAATAAACAAAAAATAAAAATTAATTCAAAACTGAGTACCAAAACAAATACTTACTGTGTGAGTCCATTAGTGGAATGGTATATTACTAAGTCAAGATGATCTCAGAAAGTTCCTAGGAATTACAGTGTGCTTGTAGCCTGCTGCTTCTACTGTGTTCTCTATGGAAGATGGATGTAATATAATATATTATATTATTGGAGTAGAAGAACAGGTATTTGCCGTCTCATGCCCAGAAGAGATTGATCTTAGATAATTTTTATCCCCAAATCTCGCCCTTATATCCTGTTTCTTGCCTGAACTAGAAAACTGGCATAATCCTGAAGGGGAAGAAAGGTAAATGGAAATGGGGTTTGCATCTCCCCTGCAGGCTTTCGCTTGCTCTAAATCTTCCATCGCAAAGAAACTCACACATGTTGTGACCATTTTATTGATATTTTAGTCATAGTTAAAACAGTCAAGTCTAGAGTTTAACTCTATTGTAGTACCATGTCAGTCAGAAGTCAAATCCTGATACATAGACTGCTATAGATATAGCTTTTCAATCAGAAAGGGATTATGTTAGTAATGGGCTTTCTAACAATTAATTAGAAAGGCTGATAATTGATCAGAGCTACATAGTTCCAATGTCTGTCTGTACAAGGCTGAGAAGCCACTAGCTGCTCAGTCCAAGAAGCTGAACATCTCAGTGGTTCTAACTATGCTTACAAAGCAGAGGCTGAGAAGCCAGTAGTTGCTCAGTTCATGAAGCTGAATATCTCAGCAGTTCTGTCCATGCTTCTTGGAAGATTCCTGGAGAAGCTGTATCCTGGCTGCAACAGCAGAAGACAATAGTAGCAGCAACTGTAGCAGTGGGGTAGATACACTAACCAGTAAGAAGCAAAGGCTGGTAAGCAAGCAGCACAGACTTTTCCATAGACATCTTTATATCTAGGTTGTGCTCGGAAGACATCGCCTACTATGCGGGGCCGCCCGCCCGGGGCCCCCGGGGCGCGGGGGCGGGGGTGTCTTCTATGTTACTCCTTCTTGCTCCCAAATCTGAATATCTTGACTGGGCCTAGGTGGGTGAAAGACTCCCACAGGCCAGCCTGGGTCCTCACAGTCTGGGTGAGTAGGTGCCATTATTATGGGCAAATATATGGTGGAGAAGGTAGAGAAAGAGAAGCAGAAAGATTCATGTTTCGTGGAAAGAGGCAGAATAGAAGAAGTGAAGGTGGCCAGGAACAGGCTGATGTGAGAAGCCTGCTTGCCATCCAGGGCCAGGGTGATATCAGGCCATGTCTGAGTTCATAGTCATACTATAGCTGGGGTCTGTGTTGACATCCATGACCCATGTTGTCACTAGAGACCACAAGGATGCCTGGGGTCTTGGCCACCACTTGTGATCATGCTGGTGTCCAAGGACCGTGCTGCCGCCCAGGGCCATATTGATCTGGGTGGCCTGTTTTGTTATCTGGGGCCTTGGTGATGTCCTGGCCCAAGCTCCTGCCTAGGGCCATGCCTGGTTCAGTGGCCATGCAGCAGCCAGAGTCTATGTCAACATCCATGGTCCATGTTACCGCAAGGGGCTATAGGAATCATGTGTGCTGAAATCTGAAGGCTGGGCTGAGCAGGCCCTGCCCCTGGTTGGACACTGCCGCAGGAGAGCAGCTCTCCTCCACTAGGAAGAGATGGCCCCACTTCTCACCACAGGCGCGTGAGAGCTGGCCCCAAAGGCAGGAGAGCTGGCTGCACCCTTCACTCAAGGGAGGTCATCTGAGTAGCCCAGACCGACAAGCTCAGCTACTACCAGACCCACATCCTGGGCCTTGAGTTGGCCTACCCTAACATCTATACCATCTATGATCTGCAGGAGCACATGTGTGAAGGGACTGGTCCTGCAGAATGATAGCTGGTAGCTGTAGGATCTCCATAACTCGGGGTAAAAGCGGGATATCTGAGAGGAGTTTCAAAGGTGAGGGGCCAGTGATGATTGTGTCCCAGAGGCCTTGAACCAGACTAATGACTCATTGCAATGGACGAAAGGGTATACTACCCGACACATCCTAACTCCCAATGTTGCTATGTTGCAAAATATTTATGTACACTGTGTGAAGATGTGTCACTGTGATTGGTTTAATAAAGAGCTGAATGTCCAATAGCTAGGCAAGCAGATGTTAGGTGGGATTTCCAGGGGCACAGAGGACTCTGGGAAGGAGAAAGGAGTGATGCCAGAAGACTCGGAGCAGGTTAGACATGTCATACAGAGGAGAGGTAACTGAGCCATGTTGAAGAACATTGATGAAAATCATGGGTTAATTAGGTTATAAGAACTAGTTAGAGAAAAGCCTAAGCTAAGGCCAGCTTTCATAAATAATAAGACAACTCCATGTTGTTATTTGTGGGCTGGTGGTCCTGATAAGAAAGCTTCCTACACCTCTAGGACAAATGAAGAGGTGTTGCAGAGGTGGGAAAGAGGTGTTTTCTTTTTGTTGTTTTGTTTTTAGTTAATTTGGTTTTTGTTTGTTTGGTTTTCTTTTGGAGGGGAATGATGTAAGGGTGAGGGGCAGATATGGAGAGACTGGGAGGTGAGTGGGATTGGGGTGCATGATGTGAAATTCCCAAAGAATCAATAAAGAATTATGATATATATGTATACATACATACACATATTCTGAGTATTTTATTTGATTCAGATCCCATGGAGTTGACAAGATTAAACCATGGCAGGCATTTATTACAGTAAATTCTATAGTTACAAAATCCTTGCAAGAAAACAGTTCCGTTAAAAAAAAAAATGAAATGTTGTTGGGCAGTGGTGGCACACTCCGTCCCCCTACCCCCTGAGACAGGTTTCTCTGTACCTTTGGAGCCTGTCCTGGAAAGGAGTGGTGGTACACTCCTTTAATCCCGGCACTCAGAAGGCAGAGGCAGGTGGTTCTCTGTGAGTTCAAGGCCAGCCTGTTTTATGGAGTGAGTTCCAGGACGGTGTGGCCAAGGCTATTACACAGAGATACCCTGTCTCAAACCCTTCCCCCCAAAAAAGCAAAGAAAGAAAGAAAGAAAGGTAATCACTATAATATCTAGTAAGTGTACCTTGTGTAAAATGAACTTTTTACACAAAAACCAATACATAAATGGTGGTAGCAGCTTCATTTATAAGAGCCTCAGTGTGGACACAGTCCAGAAATAGATGAGTAGTTGAGCTGTGGTGTATCCATATGATAGGATACTATACTACAATGAAACAAATGGACTATTGCTGCATTAACTTTGCTTGAGAAGATACGGATAAACATCTCTTTATCTCAGACAAGGATGAACAACAACAGACCAAACCTATTCTATCAAAGCCTAGTTTGGTAAACTAAAGAGTTTATTTACACTTACTTATGGGAGCATAAAGGATTTCCTAGAGGAACACTGATGACTTACAGGCACCTACATTACTGAAAGAAAGCCACCGTCCCACTCCCATAGTCATTAATGGCTTATGCATTTTGAGAAGACTCAGAGACACAGGTGTCTAGTGTGTTGCCTCATTAGCCCTTTGTGCTAAACACATGTGTTTTCTCTCCTCTTCACAATGGAATATTAATGGACTATTAATGCACAATCTTGTGAGGGTCTCCTGCTAGTGAAGAGGGGACAGCGTTCCACAGCAACTATTAATAAACATAACAACAGGGAACTCTGAGTGAAAAAGCTAATCCCAAAGACTATAAGATCAATTTATAATAAATACTCTCCTAATAATAAAATTTTAGAAATGGAGACCAGACGAGTAGTTTAGGAATTAGAGAGAGGGGTGCGAGGTAAGTGGTGTGGCCATGAAAATTTAGCAGGAGGCATAGATTGGGGCAGTGGAACTGTTTCGTGTCTTACTGTAGTCATGGACACTGTGCACAGGCAAAACTGTGCTGTTTTTCATTATCTAAGGGAGGCTGGTTCCAGGACACCTCTACATCCCTGCTAGTTTCCTCCAAATATCAAAATCCACAGATGATCAAGTCTTTTGTATGAAGTTTATAAACTATGCATACCATCCAGTATCTTTTATATCATCTTTAATACCTAATACTTCACAAATGTTGTGTAGGTGGTTGTTACACTGTGTTACTCAGGGAATAACAAAGGGAGACTTGTCAATATATGTTCTTTAAGATATGATCATTGCATTAGTCAGGGATTTCTAGAGGAACAGAACCAATAGAACTGATGTATATGATAGAAAGAGATTTATTAGGTTGGTTTACATGGTAGAGACTAGGTAGCCTAAGAATGGTCATTTGCATGATGGATAGGATTAGAACCCGATAGCCCTTCAGTCCATGAAGGTGTCTCAGAAATCTCAGCTGAAGGTTTTGAGGATTCCTGGAGAACTGCTGGTCTTTCAATCACACTGGAGGACTGGACCTGGGTTCTGATATCTGCAAAAGATGGCAGCAGCAGTGGCAGCAAAAACAAGAAAGATGCACTCACTAGCAAGAACAGAAGGAGGCCAGGCAAAGTAGCATTGCTTTTTCCTTGGAGTTCTTTAAATCTGGATGGCTGCTGGAAGGTGTCATACACTATGGGGGAGGGTCTCCTCTCTTCATCTAACCCTTCCCGGAAATACTCCCATATACCAGCCTAGAAGAAAGTCTTAGATGGATTCCAGATCCAATCAAGGTGACAATTAAGATTAGCCATCACAGGACTGGAGAGTTGCCTCAACAAATAGGGCATTTGCTGCCAAGCCTGATAACTTGAGTTCAGTCCCTGGGATTCACATGGTAGAGCAAAAGAACTGACTCCTAAAGTATGTCCTCTGACCTCCACAAGAGCTCCATGCATCCATAGCACTCCCACTCCCTATAAAAATAAAAATATGTAAGCAGATGCAGAGATTCACAGCGAAGCACTGGGCAGAGCTCCCAAAGTCCAGTCGAATAGAGGGAGGAGGGAGTACACGACCAAAGGGGTCAAGATCTTGATGAAGAAACCCACAGAGACAGCCGACCTGAGCTAGGGGAGCTCACGGATTCTGGACTGATAGCTGGGGACCCTGCATAGGACCAAACTAGGATCTCTGAGTGTGAGTGACAGTTCTGTGGCTTGTGCAGTCTGTGGGGCCACTGGCAGTGTGACCAGGATTTATCCCTAGTGCATGAACTGGCTTTTTGGAGCTCATTCCCTACAGAGGGATACCTTGCTCAGCCCTGATACAGGGGTGAGGGGTTTGTTTGGTCCTGCCTCAATTTGATATGCCAGACTTTGTAGACTCTCCATGGGAGGCCTTATACTTTCTGAGGAGTGGATGGGGGATGGGTAAGGGAGAAGATGTGGGGAGGAGTAGGAGGAAGGGAAGGAGGGGGAACTGGGATAAATAAAAAAATTAAAAATAAGATTGACCATCCCACTGTAGTCTTAACTTCTTGGTACATAGTACAAATTTGGTTGAGTAGATGGATGCAGAATAAATGGATACAGGGGATGAGCTGTGTTGATACTTTGGGTCAGCTGGGCTGTACTTTGTAGGATGTTCAGCGACAGAGTTATTCTTTAATCACCAAATACCAATAGTGCAGTTCCGTTTGTTACAGTAAAAAAGGTCTTCAGGCACTGTCAAATGTCCTCTGGGTTACAAAATCTCACATGGTTGAGAATTACTGTGCTAGACTAACACAGTTCCCCTCTGGCTAATGTAGTCTCATGTTGTCAGACCCTGTGCTGACTGTGCACATCCCCCGATGACCACTGGGAAAATTACAACAGTGACGCTACTGTGAGTTGTCTTCCATACTTCCAAACCAACAAGAAAAATCTCTTTTTTCCCCTCTGTTGTGAGATGTATCGTGTCTGTTCCTCTATCAATTTATATGCTGAAGTATTAGACTTCATTGCCTCAAAACTGAGTCTTTACAAAAGACAGCTGGTGGCTAGTTCAGCTGGGAGAGTATTTGCCTTGCGTACACAATATTCTGGGTTTGATCCCCAGGACCACATAAACAGGCTGTAGTGGTCCTAACCTGAGCACTCGGGAGGTAGAGGCAGGGCCATAGAAACTCAAAGTCATTCTCAGCTATGTAATGACTTGTAGGCCAGCCCTGGGCTACAGGAGACTCTGTCTCAAAATAAAAACAAACAAAACCAAGGAATAATCCCAAAGCCACAAAACAAAACAAAAAAACTTAAAAAAACACATAAAATGAAAAAGTTATTGTAAAGAGGATACTTTTTATTTTGTGATCATTTCACTTGTTATTATTAGCTTTTAAAAGTGTGACCCCATGTTGGGGTCAGAGGACAGCTTGCAGGACTTGGCTCTTTTCTCCCACTGTGTGCGTCTGGATGATTGATTCAGGAAGCAGACTTGGGGGCCAGTGCCTTTACCTACCAAGCCAGGTTGCTGGCTGGGAAACAGGCTCTTTAGTAAGATAATTAAGGTAAAGTGAAGTCATTAGGGTAGTCCCTACACCATATGTAGTCCCATAACCAATGTCCTTACAACAGGAAGTGGAAACACAAGCACACATAGAGGAAGAATGTCACGAGAAGATGCAAGGTAACATTTACAAGCAAAGGAGACAGGCCTCAGAAGAAATCAACCCTTGATCTTGAGTTTTCAGATTCTAGAATAGTAATAAAGTTTGCTTGTGTAAGTGACACAGTTTGTTTTCCATCTCAGGTAGTTTGCAAATATTTTCTTTACTATTTTCTACACTTCCAGGCCCTAAACATACCGGTTTTATTTATTTGCTTTGTAGAGTTGGAGATCAGACCCAGAGGCTCACCCATTAGACAAGTGATCTACCACTAAGACACATCCCAGCACATCCAATACATATTTGATTTCTATGATTTTTTTTCTATTGATACATTCCTTACTGGACAGTGATCATTGGTATGACATGAGGTGTCAGAGCTACAGGACACATCGGGCAGATTTCCCCTAAGTATCAGTTTTTGTCTGCAAGTTTTAAAGTGTTGAATTATTTATCCTTGCATTACAACATATTTACATAAAAATTCAATCTTTAAAGATCATCTAGACTTCAGATACTTCTTGCTTCAATGAATATGTTTCTCCAACTTCTGGGTCTCGTTTTCCATAGAGAATGCACCAGAGAAAAGTCAAAATCATTAAACCAGACAAGCCTATGTACAAAGTGTGGAAAGTTTCTGAGGAGTCTGGGCACCCGGTCTTGGGACTCCGGATTTGCACCATATTCTTCACACCTTTCACGTTCTATTGGGCACTGTCCCAGTAGATCTATTTGCACCTGGAAAGACGATCTGAGGCTATTTATCGGAGAAACAAACAGGGCAGTGCGGGCCACAGTGTTTCTTTCCCTTACTCTTCCATATCTGAGTCCTTTGCCAGACCCCTTTTCTCGGTCAATGTGACATTTATCAAACGGAAGCAAATTTAGCAGACACAGTAGGCACCCCACCTCTTCAAATTGGTCACGTACAGGTTTACTGACCTGTGCATTTTTTGTTGACTGTTTCCTTATGCAGGAAGTCGGGTGGGGCCAGAAACTTGACTTCTGAGAACTGCCAGCCCTCAAAGTAAATATTGTTCCTTGAATGGTGTTACTGGGAACCTCCAAACTAGTTCTAAACTTTAGAAAAGTACCAGAAGACTCAGATAGTCAGGTTGAGGTTAAGGTTAGTCATCCCCCGCATCTGTAAGCCCACTTAGAAGCCTTGAAAAGCTAGTGCCCTCAAGTAATGTAAAACTGACTTCTCACAAAGACACAGCAGCAGGGGTTCAGAAACTATTTAATAAAGTCAGTGACCCCAGGCTTGTGATGCCTGGATTTGGAGTTCAGAGTTTTTTTTCCTACCGAAAATGTCAGCTCGTCATTCCTCCCGGAATCATCGGGCGATATCGGGATTCCTGGAGACCAAGGCCCAGGCAGACAGCACCCTCTACCCGGTCGCAGTCCGGCATCCTTCCTCTTTCAGGAGCCCGGCGTCCTCAGGCCCCGCCTCCCAGGGAGGCGTGGCTCAGCGTGGAGACCCCGGTGGGGGCGGAGCCGTAGGGGGCGCCGCTGACGCGTCGCTGCTAGGACGAGTGACGCGGCGCCAGCCAGGCCTAAGCCCGGCTCCCGCCGCCCGCCCCGGC